GAAGAAGAAGAAGAAGAAGAAGAAGAAGAAGAAGAAGAAGGGGGGGAGGGGGAAGAGGAAGAGGAAGGGAAAGGAAAAGAATGAGTAGAAATTAGTGGGAAAATGGACCAATGAATGAGTAAGCATTCCTTCTTGTCTTGTCTTAGTCCTTTGCTCCCAATGCAGCAGATGAGCTTCAGGATACAAATTAACATGAAGAGGCAGTAGAAATTGTCTTTGTTGATCAGTTGGCATAAAGACAGACAAACTAAGGGTATATCCTGGCTCAGGGTTCAGGAGCAAATTGTCCACCAGCTTCAAAATCTGTGTTCATAAGAGCAGTGCTGGGAAATAAACTTGTTTTTAAATGAGAGAGAGAGAGAAAGAGAGAGAGAGAGATCTTTCATGAATCTTTCCTTCCTTTATTCATAGTTTGGAGACATTAGGATTTGGGAAGTCACACTGTTTAGATTGGACCAACTTAAGACATATATCTCCATTCAAATTGCCAGGGATCACAAGACTTTCACACCAACATAACTTGTCCTAGCTGTCAATGCCATGCAGTACTGTGATGGAGAAAAGAGAAAAGCCAAAGACTCCAAGGTCTGGAAATATTTTCCAGGCCATTCCAGAGAGAATAGGGCTGCCCAGAGGGTGGGGCGCAGTCCACAGCCTGCTAGTTCTTTGTGGCACCATCTCCATCTGTAGGACAGCTCAGCTGATCTCAATATGACAGAACTGAAGAGCTTTGTTCTCAGAGCCAGTTTTTGCTCACTTTGGTGAATCAAGGCTACCAATTGCTTAGGAGGAAAGGGTGTTGTCCCTAGAAAGAAAGCATGAGCAGTCCTTCTAACAAAGGAACCCAGGAGAGGAAACAGATATGTAAGACATTCTTTTCGCCCCAAATGACTTCCAAGCTCTCTACACATTCATTTAGAAGTATGGATGGGATAATGCAGGTAGTATTTCTGTGGTACAAGAAGAGATGAGACTCCACTCCTTTCCAGGAGACCATAGGGAACCCAGAGACTAACAGCTGTTGCCAGGACTCCACTGGGCCCCTTCCCCCTGCCCTCCACTGCCCCATTCCTTCCGCCCAGGCTCAGGGCAGTCTGGAAGCTGATACAGTTGTACAATGGTCCCTTCTTTAGAGGTGTTCTTCTACTATCTCCAAAGGTAGGGTTTGAAACTGGGGACTTTGTCCAGAGCCACATCTAGAAGGATTATCATCATCCAGAGGGTAAGCAGTACTAGAACAGGTGAGGTTGATTAATGAAGGGGATTTTATCCATCACGTTCCTTCAGAAGAGAGGAAGGTAAATCTGATCCAAGCAACACAACCTAAGGCTTTTAAGGTGTAGCCTATGTAAGAAGAGCAGATGCAAAAAATGTGTCTGCACCTATTGTGGAATATAGATTTTATAGCCCAAACCACAGCCTCAGGGCCAATAGAAGCTGAAAGGTATTTTTAAACAGAATCTGGTTAATAGTCACACAGATCTTTCCCTCTTTTTTGTTTTTAAGACATATTTGCCCTTTGTTTCTCTTTGGTTCATTAAATTTTCATTAAAATATTAATCCCATGTTTCTATTTGCCTCCCAACATGAATGCAGCATTCCATCAAGTTTAATTCATATCACTTTTTTTTTTTTTCTGGTACCGGGGATCAAACTCAGGACCTTGCACTTGCAAGGCAAGCACAGTACCACTGAGTTAAATCCTCGGTCCTCATATCACTTTTTAAGGTAGAAAATATTGCCAAACTAAAGTTCCCTTCATCTCTTCCCCCTAGTCATGTGCCCCCACACACACACTTCTGAGAAGTAACCAGAACACTGGTGCGTGGTTTCTATAATCTTATGCATTTGTTGCATACGTAGATATTTTTAGATGCTTAGGCTATTTCATATTTAAATCTATACAAACAGATTCATGCTATACATAGATAAGATTTGGCAGCTTTTTTCATCTACTTTTACATTTTTTAGATTTATTTATGTTAAAATGTGGCTCTAGTCACCTTAACATTTATATTGACATCTATATTGATTTTCAAAATGTAAACTGAGAAATCTTCTGACAACAGTACTCTTGAAAGATGTGGTACTGTCCCAAAGGCAGAAAAGAATAATTTACATAGCTGTAAGATCTACCAACATTGACAAAACAACAGAACAGTCATAACCATGTAACTTTGCCACCTGGAGGGTACTTTATACTTTTCAAAGCATCTTTTAATCACCTAATTCAACCTCACCAAAACCTATGAGGCTAGTGGAGGCTCATTCCTCATTTGTGGGGTGAAGGGATGGACAGTGGTTGATCAAGATCCTTTTTATGATCTGAGTCAGACATGACATTCCAATTTTGCAGGTAGGTCAATCCAGGCTCAGAAATATAAAGAGATTTGTCTATTATCATGGACCTGATTAAGGATGGTGGAGGACTTAAAATCTTAGTCATCTCATCCTTTATACAAGGAGTGACCCTTTACTCCCACAGGTTGAAGCTTATTCCAATATTTCCTCTCCTGCTAATAAAAGGGTCACTTGCACACAAGATGAACTTTATTTAACCACTTTTATTGATTATTGAGAGTATAGGGATCTGGGCAGGGGATTTAGCTCAGTGGTTCCGCCACCTGCCTTGCAAGTGCAAGGACCTGAATTCGATCCCCGGTACCAAAAAGAAACCCAAAAGAGTATAGGGATCTGATTCAATAGTATGGCAATGTTATCAGATTTCATTGCTAGAGGCCAGTTTCTGTTGCAAAGATGAAGGGAGCAGAATCAAATTATTTTAAATTATTATTGTTATCATTACATGGAGAAACATTGGATATATCAGAACTTGTGTCAAAGATTGTAACCTAAGGAAAGTGGCTCTTTTCAATGTAATAGGAATCCCTATCCATCCCAACAACAGCTAAAACGTTGGAGATCCAAATGTCCAATACAACTACCATGAAATTCTTCACCAGACCTGTGGCCCCACAAGTAACCATGCAGGGAGATGCACACATCAGGTGGCACAGTCAGCATCACCTTGGCGTGCTCAGTCTCACTGTGTTCCACACTTTTGGATGAGAGGCTCAGGCAGTCCTGGCAGGATCTGGGATGAACCTATCCCCATTTATGGGCACATTGGCTTCAGGACAGGGATGACTTACATGAGTGTTCACAAATGCTGCCTTCTCCATTTCTCCAGAAACCAAATATACCCGAAATAATATGCAAAATCCTCTGGTTCTCCCTGCTATATGTGGATTTTTAAAAAATTAAAATACAGATGTTAGATAAATGTCATCTGAATACACTAATATTTCAGCTCCTGGCTTATAACATAGAAGGATTTGTTTCTATTACTATCAGGAAAGACTGCAAAACGCTTTCTTTTCTTGCCTTGGCTGATAAGTCTCATTCTTATCAGCTCAAAGCCCCAGATCAATGCCATGCATACTAGAGGTTCCATAAGCACCTGAAAGAGGAGTGAACACACAGGTGCTAGTGCCTGTCAGGTGCTGCCAAAACCTCCAACTAGTTTTAAGCTTAGAGGAGTCATCAAAAAAGGTTGTGGGAAGAATTCATTTGGCAACTACAGAAACAGAGAAAAACAATCTCTAAACAGTCCTCTAACAGCCCTTGACATTGGAAATACGCAAGCAACCTTCATATTACCTATTGTTTGCATGGCTTATTAACAAACCCTTAGTGTTCCAGCCTATACATCTTCTAAAGGTTCTTCATCTTACATTGGCATTTCAAGAGTCGAGACCTACCATGGAAGACACACTTCTTAAGAAACACTTATTTGTGGGGACACAAAGCCTGAATCTTCCCCCACTAAGACCCCTGAGTGATAGATATACCTGGGAACAGGTAGACCTTGGAAAGTGTCAAATGCTGCCCCAGAAATAGTGTCCAAGTGGCAAGATAATGTCAGATGAGTGAATACCCCAGGCTACAGGGTGAGGTGCCTGGGACCTGGTGCTTCTGTGCCATAATACCCAGACATGAAAATCGACAGCAGTGCCCTAAGTCCCCAGCCCCATGTGGCCTCCCCTATGGTCTTTGAGTCATCTGTCCTGAGAGTACTTTTGAGGGAGGTCAGTGAAAAAAGGAAAACTGGACAGGGGGCCCATCCCAGAGTGAAAACATCTTTTCTGGAGGACCAGCACAGGGTCACACTCATGGTTGTGACCTGAAACACTGGCCTCACTGAGGCTTTGGAGATCTTATCCATAATTCAGGAGAAAAAAACAAAGGGGACAACCAAAAGGGAATTAACGGAGCATTGTTCTATTTATAGTAACACCAGCATTTCAGACAGTCAGAATCCACTGCAGCCAAGGCTGGGCACAACAAGGGTAGCAGCCAGGTTAGTCGCCAGAGAACTGGGCTCCCTTCCTGCAGCTCAGTTGTAGGAAAGGTAATCGATGAGCCGAGGAGGGATGTTTAACTTGGCAATTTTCTCCAGCCCTCGAACACCAGTGGCCTTCCTCAGGCTTACCCTGCAGAGCTGTGACAAAGTCAGAGGTGTCTCTGGAAAAAGGGAAAAAGGAAGTCTGTGAGGTTAGAGGAGTTACAGGAAGGAGCACATCCTACAACCTAATTGCACTAAGATGAAATAGGAAAGGCCTCCCTTTGCTCTGAAATTAAGATGCACCAGCATGCCTCCTCTGGAAGGTGACAGAAGGACAGCCAGGGACTGAGGAAGGAAGCCTAGGAAATAGAATTCAGATGATAGCCACAGGTTCCATTTTGTGAGTTTTCAGCCTAGGGGAGGGGATTTGGTTTTTTTCTGTTTTGTTGGGATTTTTTTGTTTTTTGAGCCATAGTGTTATCATTCAGCACACAGGTCTGTCAGCCAAAAACTACTCTGGAGTTAGTAAGACTCATTTGTCATCATGCAGCCAAATGTGTGCCAGAGCAAGGTGCTAGTAGCTGGCTCCTACTGCTCTGGCCTCCACTCTCACCCATGATACCACAGGCCACAGGAGTCCTAAGAACTGGTGATCTGCATAAAACAGCTCCTATGGACAAAGTGCTCAAGTGAACATCTTAGTGGAAAAAGACAGGAACCCAGGACTAAGCACTAAGCTGTCATCGGAAACTCAGGAAGAACTAGCAAACCAGGGAGCCTAGCTGAAAGATGAAGCTGCCTGGCAGCCTGGCACACAGAATATCTGCACAGCAAGCTCACTTTCATAGTGCTCGAAGCACTTGGCAGGGGCACTGCTGCTCCATGTGTAATCTGATGGCTTCTTCCCCCGGTTGTCCCGGGCATAGATGTTGCCTCCAAACTCAATGAGCATCTCAATGAGGTCGACGTTCTTAACCTTGGCTGCATGATGAAGTGCTGTCTCATGAAGTTTTGCTGCATTCACATTGGCCCCTGGAGGTCCAGAGGGGAGAACATATTTCACCAAAACCAAAACTTAAAACCAAGAGAAAAACAGACTCACACTTCTCTGTTCAGTACAGCGTGCAAAAGCAATCCCCACCCAGAAAACAAAATCAAGACAGGCTGACTCTGCTGTAGCTTTTCAAGACATTTTTCAAAATCCAAGAGGAGTGATTATTTTTTTTATGAGAAGAGAGGGGAATAATAATAAAGAAATGTAACTTCAAACAGAACCAAAAAGAAGAGAAACAAAACAGAAAGCTTCCTCATGGATCAAACATCACTTCTGGCATCCTACACATACTGCTTTCAGAGATCCTTAGATTTCTGGAACCTCAGACTGAGCCACCCAAGTGCTCCTGCCTGTCTGAAGACATAGACACACAGAGCTTCTTCCTACTGTGGACACACTAGACTCCAAAAGCACTGGCTGAGTGAAAAAAATGGATATTCCTTACATATAAATGTTCTTTTACAAAATGGGAGAAACAAAGGGAAAATAGGTAATGGTCCCAAAAGGTTAACTGAGTTCAGCTTTGCCCTCCTTATCTTTCTTGCAATATTCAGAAAGATAAAGAATTAGTAGCTAAGTACAGTATTTTTCAAAGCATTAAAAAATGAAGATTTTGATAAAAGTTCTATTTGTGTAAAATGTCATGCTTAGGCCACATTCATCACTGATTACACACAGTGAGATTTCCTGGGCCTCAGAATTTATTGGAAGAAAAATACCAACTGCTTTGAAGTCTGCTCCTAAGTACATAAGGTGATTATAAAAGGAGATAAAAGTTAAAGAACCTGAAAATAGCCCAACTTCAATAAAGTAATGCTCCAACAACAGATACAAACCACAATCATAAAATATGCCAACAGCTGTAATTTTAGAAAGATAGGAGAGGGGGAAATTAACAGGGATATGGCTATTCCATTAGTAGTCTTACTGCTCAAAAATATTTGAAAAATTCTGCTTAAAAATATTTTTAAGCCCCAATGGAACATAAGAACTATGTTCATGATAGTGTTCACAGTGTGACCCTGGAAATACAGTCAGCACTCCAACCTAGTCTTAGGTTGAATGAAAGCACTTTCATTTTCTCCCGCCAAAATTCAGAACTCCAGTCAGAAAAGAAGATCTCTCACCCAGGACAAAGCCTGGATCACCTAATTATTTAATTTGACAAAATGAAACACAAGATGTATATTTAAAAGCAATAAATTAACTAAAAAATAGTTTCCCCACAATCCAACCACTGGCACACATCAAGAGGTTCTGTTTCAATACTTGCCTACAGGGATAAATAATTTTCAAAGTATTTGCAGTCATAATGCAAATGTAAATTTTACCACTAAACTTATACTTGTAATGAAAAATAAATTCCAACATCAACAGACTTGAAAGTTCGGATAGTTTTTTATCATATTATTAATTCTGGCAGTATTCTTGCCAACTGGGAATGAAAGCAATCTTCTCTGTGTTAAGAGAGGAGAAAGAGGCATAAGTGAAGCAAAGCTACTCTCTCAAGGTCAGAGGAAAACACAGGCACTGGAAAAAGCTCTAAGAGTAAAGTTCTAAAAAGCTTAAGAGAAAAGGGTCAAATTTGGACTATTACCAAACTCCTGATTTCAAAAGAAAGTAGGATTAAAGTGGATTCAGTAGAACCATGGCCATCAAAGTGAAGGGACTCCCTAAATCATCCTTAGCCTATGCCAAGACAAGGCACAATCCTGGAACATAAATACAAATAGTTCAATGTATGCTTTTTGTAATGAGAAACTGGGGGAAAATATGTGACAAAGACTGTGCTGGAAAAGCGGAAATAGCAACCCTCAACTAGCTGCTTCTGAGTGCTTCCAGCAGAGTTAAATATTTACTGCTAGTGATCAGATTAAAAATTACTTCACTGAATAAACTCGACTTCCAGCCTACCAGCCTTCCTCATCAGCAAACATAATATAGTTCTTTGACTCAACCTTACTGCCTACGAAAAGAAAAGAGAGAGCAAAGGTCTCTGTGTCCACTCCTTGGGTATAATGTGGCTGCTCCACAGCTTGGCTTCTCAAGCAGAGCAGGGCCTCACAGAGGTCACACGAAAGAGTGCCTGCTGGCATATTTTTCTAGAGGAAACACAACTTTTCCTCATTTTTCCAAGGGGCCTGTGACACAAACCCAATAATTCAGAATCACTAATTATAAAAACCCATTTGTGAGTATATAAGGGTACGTATGCTACCTCTTCTCTCTACTTCTCTGTAGGTGTGAAATGTTCCACAACGAAAAAGTAATTTCTAAGAAAAGAAAAAAGATAATCCACTTGATCCAACAGGGTCTATTAAGAGATGCTGAGAAGACTAGAACCTGTTGAGAAGACTAGAACAGCCATTGAGGATTATGCATAGAGTTGACAGCTTCTCACATCAAAAAGCATCAGGCTGAAACTGATACTATCACAAAGGAAATTTCTCCAAAAGGATTAATCATCTTTAACTTCCCAAGTTATATGGAAACTCCCTTTTAAAACTACTGCATAATCTTTTTTAAAGCTATAATGGACATTACGGTTGTCTGCTGTTCCTTTCCGATTCTTCACACTGTGTGGTCACCTGACAACATAGAATTGGGGTGCCAGGTGAGGTGAGTGGATCTACCTCACCTCAGCTTTAGGTGTGGGCCCTGACTGGTTCGGCCTCCTTCCTCTACCATAGTAACTGGTTTAAACAATCCAGGATTGAGCCAATCAGAAAAATTGGGGCCAAAAGAATCTATTTAAGCTTAGGCATGACATCCAGTTTGGGCCAATGGAACAATGGGAGAGGTATCCCAGACACTGTCTAGAAGAATAGTTTCGCTCTTCTGAAGAAGCTACCAGAACCTTAAAAAGTGAAGTATTTGGGTTTTAAGCCTGAATCTGCTGCAGCCATTTAACCACAATTTTACAGAATAGTTAACTCTGAAGAAAACAAAATTGAAAGTTCAAATGAATGGAGGTCTTAGTGACACTACTGAACCATTAAGTTAAACTGACTCTAAATCTGCTCTACTAAATGACCTTCATTATTCACTTAGTTGTATCTGGTTTCTTAATTACAGTCAACCTTCCATAGGTTCTATATTCATGGATTCAATTAATGGAGGATCAGACTCAAAAGAAAAGTCCCTCTGTGCTGAACATGTGCAGACCACTTTCTACCTTCTATACTGAGCCTTTTTCATACACCTTGACAATGGCTTGATTCCAAATGCTCCATTCTCCTAACTGGTGCTGACTAGTCCCATTATACCCTCATTTCTCTTGGATTCAGACAGCAAAATCATTGGTATTGTGGATAGTGTCCTCTAAAAGCAGTCATTTGCATTTATTGAGCAGCAGCTATATACTACCTACTATAGTTTTTACTTTTCCCGTTTTATAAGATATAGAAACTGAGGTCAAGGGCTACCTGGCCAGTCAGGGAGCCAACTTCTAATCCTGGTGGTCTGTGTGTCTCTGCCAGACACAGCACAGGGAACCCACACATGCAGGTAAACAACAGCTCAGGTAAACAACCACGCACCTGCATTGAGCAACACTTTGACACAGTCCAGATGTTCTCGTGCACAGGCAACATGCAGAGGGGTCCCAAAGTGGCAATCATGGGCTTCCAGATTGGCCCCAACATCTATAAGAAGCCTCACACATTCAGAACTCCCTTAAAATAAATGGAAAGCCATGAAAACATCCATGAATGATGGATTAGAATCTATTCAAAATAATAAGCACGACAAATGGCAGCTGGAATAGGTTGCCTGTGTCTGGCCTCAAGGAACAGAAGAAGCCACAGCCTACATCCCAAACTAAAGAACAGTTTGGGAGCTTACACAGACCTGGGGAAGCCAGCAGATGGCTCTCTTTTCCCCTGAGGGATGGAATCACTCCTGGCCACTAGGCAGCCAGAGAAAAAGGGCATGGTTGCCCATTTGGGACACCTGTAGGAATAGCTGAGGAAGACTCTCTTGACCGCTCCCCTCTCTGAGGCTGTCCCTGTACTGTTTCTGGGGGATGTCCAGCCCATGGGAATTACACAGCTGCTGGCATCCCACTCCCGCCTCCTGGCCAGGCCTTCTCACTATGCAGGTCACCCTTCAGTGCCTTTCCCACCTTTTGCCTGGCTTCTGTTCCTGCATCTTCAGTGCAGCTTTGGATTAAGGCTCATGGCCTGCTCCTTTCTTTTCCTCAAATATTCTCTCATCACATAATTACCTCTTCTTTGTTGGTAGCTACTCAATTTCCACCTCCAGCCCTGAAATCCAGCTCCACACCTACAACTGTCTGCTGGCTAGGCTCATCTGGATACTGTGACCACCACATGGTCCTTTCTTTCCGCTTCCTAGGGATCCCTGCTCATGATTCATCTCTTTCAGTCAGTGGCATCACTCCCAGTTTCAACCTGACTTGTTTTTGAGCCCTTGTAGCTCTCTGTCATACCAAGTCCCGTTGATTTTCCCCTAGACATTTTGAATGAACCCTTCCCAAGCCACCATCCTACTTCAGGCTCTGAGAGCTTTGCACCTGAACCATTTCAATGGCCTTTAATACATCAACTCACCACTCATGCAGGCCTCATGAAGTGGGGATGCTGTGTACAGTGGGGGATTGACCTTCGCCCCATAGGAAAGCAAGAGTTTCACACACTCGATGCTGCCTGAGGCACAGGCGTCACAGAGAGGGGTGCTGCCATCAATGTTGCGGGCATCCACCTGGGTTGGGGGAGAAGAAACAAATGTCAAAGGGTGGGGTAGACACCATGCAACTTGCTTTCTCATCTTCCTACAGATTCATCTTTGAAAAGGCACTTCTTAGATGCACCAGTTTCCTCTTATTTACTAAGGCATCAGCTAGGCAAGGCAGTTCAAAAAGAAAGACACACAGCTGGGGCAGGGTCCCGCTCAGCCTCCTAAGTACAGGTGTCTCACTTGGGGTTCTTAACTCAGGGCAGATCAGCTCAGCCTCACCCTTACCACCACCCAAAACTGAAAAGCACAGACCAGGAAATGAGACCATAAAGTTGCAAGCTGGGGGAGACAAGATCTAAAATGGGTTTTAACTCAAGCCTCAGCTAAAAGAAGTGTGGAAGCCTGCTTAGCATGCCTCTGTACTGGCCCAATCATAGGCTCGGTAAAAGGTCCCCCCCCTCATACTGGCAAATTCTACTTAGAACTGGTTAAAGTTCAGAGGCCAAATACACGCTGGAGGAAAGACAGCCTCTTTAACAAATGTTGCTGGGAAAACTGGCTATCCACATGCAGAAGAATGAATATAGACCCATACCTCTCACCATGTACTAAAATCAAATCAAAATGGAGCAAAGACCTAGATATAAAAGCACTGATTTGATGGAAGAAAAAAATAGGTAAAACTCTTGAAGACACAGACACAGGCAAGAACTTCACAAACAGAATTCTAGTTGCACAGAAATAATACAAAGAATCAACAAGTGGGATTGAATCAAATTAAAAAGCTTCTGAATAGCAAAGGAAGCAACCAAGAATGAACTGATAACCTACCAAATGGGAAAAAATTTTTTACCACCTATTATTTAGAAAGAGGACTGATATCTTGAGAAGAACTGAAAAAAATTAGACTCCCTACATAAAAGATCCAATCAAAAAACTATGAATAAAATGAATAAACACTTCTCAAAAAGTACAAAATGGCCAATAAGTACATGAAAAATGTTCAGCCTCTTTGGCAATTAAAGAAATGCAAATTTAAAAAACAGTGAGGTCTCATCTTGGTGCAGTAAGGATGGCTGTCATCAAGAACTCAGAAAACAACAAATGCTGTTGAGGTTGTGGGAGAAAGAAATCCTTCTACAGTATATTGTTGGTGAAAATGTAAACCAGTAAAACCACTTGGGAAATCAGAATGGAGATTCTACAAAAAACTAAAGATAGAAAGTCCATTTAACCTAGCTATACCTCTTCTAGGTATCTTCCTGAAAGAATTAAAGCAATCACATTACAGTGATATATGCATACCCATGTTTATAGCAGTACAATTCACAATAGCTAAAGTATAGAAGCCTATATGTCCATCAACATTCATGGATAAAGAAAATGTGATATATATATACAATGCAGTATTATTCAATCATAAAAAAATTTATTTGTAGGAAAACGGATGGATCTTGGGACCATAATGCTAAGTGAGATAAATCAGATACAGAAGGGTAAATATCAAATGGTTTCCCTTACATGAGAAATACAAAATATAAATAATTTAAAGAGCAAAATAAAAGACAGATTGTAGGAAACAAGGATGTAGACTTTGTGAAGATGGGAAGGGGCTCTGGGAAGGGGGGAGATGGGAGAGTGGGAGGGGAGTAAAAATGATCTAGATGTGATCTGTATATGTACCAATTCCCCAAGATGAATATGATTATGTATTGCAAAGATACACCAGTGGTAAAAATACTGGAAAAAGAAAAAAACAAACCTAAGGATTTGTAAAACTCTGCATGTAATAAAGGCAGCATTTCAACAAGGAAAAAAGTGCCAGGGATTTAGCTCAGTGGTTTCGCCACCTGCTCCACAAGTGCAAGGACCAGAGTTTGATCCCTGGTACCAAAAAACAAAAAAAGAAAGAAAGAAGACAAAAAAAAGAGACAGAAAGACAAAAAAAGAGACAGAGAACCACACCAGCACACAGGGGGTGAGCCACTCCCAGTGCACAAGAGGAGGCTTCCAGGCCATCATACCATCCCTGCCAGCACACAGGAGGTGAGCCATGCAGGCGCCAGCAGCGCAACTACCCCCTCCCGTCAAAATGAGAAAACATGTAAGCAAGTCTCAAAACCAGACTTCCAGATAACCTTCAGCAACCCCAAAGGGAAATGAGATGGAACACTCTGATATTCAACCACCTGGACTCCCTGAACTGGCAACAAAAGAGGATCTGGAAAAAATGAAAATAATTTCTCAGAAATAATTTCTCAGATAACAGCAGAGATTGTGCTCATAGTGCAAGACATAATTAATAAATCTAGAGAGAAGCTCAGGAACATGATGGAATCCCAACATAGGAAACAAATGGAATCCATAAAACAGATGCAAACAGATTTCCAGGAAATTAAAAACTCTATTGAA